GATTGGCCAAAGCAGAGAAGGAGAAGCAGAAGAAAGAGGACAAGGATCGCAGCGAAAGCAGAATATCCGTTTTAATGGGGCGGAAGCGTGGAAAGGTAAGTCGTGCCGATTCATCTTGTGATGGTGTTGCCCAACTCACTATGTTTGTTAGACACTCTCTTCCACGGACCCACCAAGTCGGAAAACAAAGTCCCCTGTTCATCTTCCTCCTTTACAGATGGCCGCTTTGGAGCCAGCAACCGCTCAACGCGTTGCTCGGCTCAAGTCTACTTCCTCCACCAGTTCGACGCCGTCATCCACCCCCAGCAGCACCACACGGACCGTTTCGGCTTCGAGACTCACCTCGCAGACGGTGAGTTCCATGCAAAAGCAGTCGGACAGCTCGCTGCGCACACGCAACGTGCTGCCCACGATCGCGGGTTCTCCTTCTGTTGGAACTGGGGCGAATGGTGTATCGAAAGAGGCGAAAGAGCCTCCCCCATCGACCTTGACCAATTCCGTTTCGGGTCTGCCCAAGGAGACTCCGACGAAAATCCCCCGCATCTCCAGTCGGACGTCCACAGTCGGATCGCCTATGCAAAAGGGTACCTTCAACAGTCGCCGTGCCAGCGTCACCGTCAGTGGAGTATCGTCTTCGACAAATCCTTCACCGACTGGCATGGCGACGAATGAATTCGGTGTAATGGAAGGCGAGGACGGCCAGGCGAAAACCATTTCTGGTATGAGTCGGACGGTGTCCGTTCGGGGGTCTCCTGCGACTGTCTCCACGTCCCGCGTTCCCCGACAATCATTGACAAGCACCGCGGCCTCATCTTCGTCCAATGTCCCGACCCGGAAACCAAACCGGGATTCTATCTCGTTCCGTAAACCCTCCGCCAGTTCCGTGGCTTCTGGCTCCACCAGCGCGGCCACTGAATCATCATCCCATCATCGATTCTCTGCTCTTTCGCCGTCTCGGGGATTGAAGCTGCTCAGTCCCAAGATCGGGCTATCGGCACGTGCTTCCAACTCGACCTCCAGCATTCAGCAGGTTGCCAATTCGCCATCTTCGAGTCGACAATCGTTGTCTACGCCATCGCCCGCTCCTAGCTCTGTGGATGAGGAGGAGGCTCAAGGCGATGAGGAGATGATGCATTATATCCGCCGCCAGCAGGCCAAGAAAATGGCATCTGGTGCAACGCAAGAGCAACTTGATGAACTTTTGAACTTCCCAGAGCCCTTACCTCCAGGCACCCCTTCCACCCCGGCAGGTTTGTCCAATGTTCTTCCCTTTCCAGTCATTGTTAGATATTCACCATTGCATTTATTTTAGCGATTCTCAAAAGCTCACAAAATCAGTACCTTTCTGAATTCGAACGGAAAGAAATCCTCGACTTCCCCGCCGTCTACTGTATTGGTGCCAGAAGCAAGAAGAAGCCTGCAGTGTTGGATAATTCGACGAACAATTACGGCTACGATGACGATCGAGGTGACTACCTCGTTGTCAATCACGATCATCTCGCATATCGCTACGAGATCATCGACACGTTGGGGAAAGGTTCTTTCGGCCAAGTATTGCATTGTCGGGATCATTGCACCGGAGAGTCGCTCGCGATCAAGATAATCCGCAATAAGAAACGATTCCACCACCAAGCACTCGTGGAAATTAAGATCCTTGATAACCTTCGCAAATGGGCAAGTTCTTTTCCTCTCTGTTTTATTTCTGTGATTTCTGACTGTCTCCAGGATGCGGAAGAGAAACATCATGTGATCAAAATGACTGAACACTTTTACTTCAGGAACCACTTATGCATCGCAATGGAGCTCCTCAGCATTAATCTTTATGAGCTTATCAAAGCGAATGGTTTCGTTGGCTTTACGACTGCGTTGATCAGGCGCTTTACGAGCCAAATGCTGTTGTCCCTCTCGTTGATGCGTCATCATCGTATCGTCCACTGCGATCTCAAACCAGAGGTCAGTGTCTCCTGAGCATTATGATTTGTATGGCTGAATGCCCAATCCACAGAACGTACTCCTCCGTCATCCGGCGAAGAGTGCCATAAAAGTCATCGACTTTGGTAGCAGTTGTCTGGAGCATGAGAAAAGTTTGTCATTGTCCTCGTTCCTCAGGTCCAGGTTTAACGGATGGCTGCGTTAGTCTACACCTATATTCAGAGCCGTTTCTACCGCTCCCCGGAGGTCATTCTTGGCATGAACTACCACATGGCCATCGACATGTGGAGTTTGGGTTGCATCTTGGCGGAGCTGTACACGGGCTTCCCCATATTTCCGGGCGAGAATGAGCAAGAACAACTTTCCTGCATCATGGAAGTTCTCGGCATTCCCGACAAGGAATTCGTCAACCGTAGCTCGCGGAAGAAACTCTTTTTTGGTGGGTACTCATAATTCTTGCACGATCATGATCTGACAGTATTCAACTCACAGACCCTAACGGGGCCCCGCGCGCAGTGATCAACTCCAAGGGTCGGCGGAGGAGACCTGGGACCAAGACTCTGGCGCAAGTCCTGAAATGCAACGACGAAGAATTTATCGACTTTATTTCGAAATGCCTGGTCTGGGATCCCGAGCGGCGAATCAAACCGCAAGCGGCCATGAGACATCCGTTTGTGACGGCAGGGAAGCGCCCTAAACCACCACCGGCGTCCACAGCGCCGAAAGCGACCCTTTCATCGTCGGCATTGGGGAGCAGCCGAGTCAAGCAGGTGCTGGAGACACCGAAAAAGTCACTTATCAGTGCTCCGACACCTCTGACTGCGCGGACAACGCGGACCACTGGTGCTCCAACGACTCCGAGCAACTCATCGCAGCCTTCGACACTCGGCTCATCACGGTCCTACAGAACGACACAGGCCCAGAGCCTCTCGACGTACCACTCGAGTCGGACACTGAATGGGATTGCTGTGAGTCATGTTACTGCTGTCCCGACTGACAAAAAATGCTGATGCATGGTCCAGACGACGGCTGGAAAATGAGCTATATATTTTGGGCGTTTTATTATTCTTGACCATGCTTCGGAGCCTGCTGTTAGACTAAATGATTTTAACTTGCGCATACCCGGTCTGCTGTATTCCCATATCTGCTTCTCTTGTTGTCGTTGTTCCTTTTCTATTAGCACGTACTTAATTTTGCAATGCACTCTGGATAACGGAATTCGCTCGTTCTGACCATAGCTTGAGGTACGAAATTGAATTGATCTGTGCCTCAGGGAGACACTCGTTGATCTCTCCGACGGCTCTTCTGACTCACATGTTCAACTTGAATCCTTGCATCCGTACCTACTCCCGACGCGCGCCTCAGCCCACCTCTGCAGAACTCGCCCAGCTCCTCCAAAAGTATGCCTCTTCTCCTCTAGATCTTGGCTCCCTGTTGTCCTTTGGTCGTCCCGTAATACCGTTCTCCTCCCAGTACGCGTCCGAAGCTTATACCTTGCTGCAAGGTAACACCGACCTCGGTCCTCTCGTCTGTCACGTATGCGCTGGCCGAGATACCCCGGCGACTCGCGATGCGCGTTCGCTCTCTGGAGGCTCTTCCGTTCATAGTCGGGACCAATCCCTATGTCGCAAACACACTCAATGCGTATAGAGACAGCTTCCAACTTCTTGCCACGTTAGCAACTTTCATTCTGTGAGCGGCAGCAAGCTTTATCCTCCGCACAGTTATCCTGCTGTAACTACCCTTCAAGAAAACAAGAGATTTACAGAACAGCTCGAGGATCTCGTCCATCGACACGCCGATGACATTCCAACCATGGCAAAAGGATTTCGAGAGAGCGCACAGTACATATCACCAACAAAGGTCAGCGCCTTCCTAGATGGCGCGATCCGCAACCGGATATCTGTGCGTCTTATTGCTGAGCAGCACATCGCCATCTCCCGCGCGTTGGAAGAGGTCACGGAAGGAAAGGAGGTTGGCAATGTGGGTGTCGTGGACACACGGTGCTCCCCCCTGCGAATGATTCGCATGTGCGAGTCCTATGTGGGAGAGTTGTCCTCCGCGACGCTTGGCTCAAGCCCTCCCATCGTTATCGACGGGGACTCGGATGCAACGTTTGCGTACGTCGGTATTCCCCTCTGCCGAGCTTTCCACTGAACAAACATGCAGATATGTTCCTGTGCACCTCGAGTACATCCTCACCGAAATTCTAAAAAACTCATTCCGTGCGACGGTCGAGTTCCAGAAGACGCGAGTACTCCCTCCTGTGCGTATCACGCTGTCTCCGCCGATTCCTGGGAGTGGCCCAAACCCAAGCTTCTTCTCGATACGAATCCGGGACGAGGGCGGTGGCGTATCTCCGAGCAATATGGCACGGATCTTCTCTTACGCCTTCACCACGGCAAAAAGTGACGCGGAACACGACCTTGACGGGGGTGGTGGACCCTATGCTGCCCAACACGTTGGAGGACTCGCCAACATTGGCGGTGGGGATACTAATTTATTCAGCGAGATGACCTCGAAAGGGTTACAAACCGGTCTCGGATCCCTCGCTGGACTCGGTTATGGGCTACCTATGAGTCGATTATATGCTCAGTGAGTTTGCATATGTTGTGAGCTCTGGAATACCAATGTGCGATATTCGGTAGGTATTTCGGCGGCTCGCTGGACCTCATGTCACTGGAAGGATGGGGTATGTGCATTCAGTGCTTCTGTGTCATGCAACGAATGAATCTCCGTCCCCAGGCAGCGACGTATTTCTCAAGCTCCGGTGCTTGAACGAGGCGGAGGACTCGACTGTCTGAGTTGTTAATATCATTGTAGTAGTAATGTACCGATCGATGCTAAATTAAACGGCTTTCGTTGAAACTCCTTTGGTTCTTGTTGTAGACGACTCGACAAGATATCCACAGTTCTTTGAACCTTGGTTCGTATCCTCATCGCATTCAAACACGTGTTGCCCGTCTATGTAGCCCAAACGGGGAGAGAGAAACAAAGAATACAACCAGATCCCGCTGCAATTTGGAATCAAATCATTATCATTACTAATTTTAACCACCTCCCGTCATGGGCGTATGGTGTAGTGGTATCACTCATGCTTTGCATGGCGCGTGCGCACCCACGGCACGTAAAACGATGTATGCGGTCCAGGGTTCAAACCCCTGTGCGTCCAGCCTTTTTGATCTTTTTGATCTTTCCGCGATAACGCGTACTCAAGAACTGTAGCTTGTTCATTTTTCGAAGTGCCCGCAAGTGTGGGTGTGTTCAGGATGTGCTGAATGGATACCATCTATATTATAGACGCAGTTATTATTAGGGATATGGAAACAGAAGGGTACTTACTTCTACTTACTTCCTGAGTACATACCTGGGCGGCTGGAAGACAGCTTAGCATGTCAGTATGCGGGCCTTGCTTTGCCCGAGTCCCTGCTTTGACGCGAGTGTTGCAAATTCACTCGTGGTGTGCAAATAGCGACGTTCAAACCAAATGGCTTAACGCTTAAAAAGCTGCTTAAGACTTAGAGCTTGCCATGGCTGTTCCGCGTCACATCCGTGATTGCCTTTTGGGTTTCACCCAGTTTCTTCCTGCTTACCCCGCTCCCCGTGTAGAGCTCCTGGCAATCTCTTCCACCCTCTAGTCTGTTCTTTCACTCTCATCAAATGTGGCAGCTTTCCTTGAAATTTCTGCAATTACCTCGACCTAAAACAACAGTGTTTTCAACTGTTTTGAACTTTTGATCCGGAAGATGGCCTCGTAGGTCCAAAAAAAAAGGGAGGAAGAAATGTGTAATTATGCTGAACGACGGGAGGCAGGAAGACGGCCGTCAGTCGGTACATGCAACCGAAAGGATAAGAGGAGGAACTGAAAAGGAAATCACGAAGTCACGGCAACAGCCACAAGCGCTAAGTCTTAAGCCGAGCTTGAGCACTAAGCCGTTTGATTTGAACGTCGCTAATGGCTGTCGCAAATGACAGATTTCAGCTGGTTCGGTTCATTAAAATACAGGCAGATATTACGACCGTCTTCCAGGGGCTTCCGACAAGATCGGTAGGAGCCGCGATGGCAACAATGGATATGTCAAATAGCCTGAGCTGAGAAGAGGACTGTTGGAACTTGGAAATACAAGATGATGATTTCCCAAATCAACTAAGGTCTGTCTGAGGGCCAAATATTCACCCACCCGAATGGGTCGTATGCATACATATGCTGCAGTCGTGGTGTGTAGAAGGCAATGATGTGTTGGAGGTAAAGGAGGGCTACTGCCATCGCTGTGCCAGTGATGACTACGCCGATGGTCCAACCTCTATTGTTCTGCCCCTGTAAAAGTTGAAAACAGTGGTTCAAATCCCGTATACTGCACAGAGGTGAGCTGGTTTCCTCGGAGTCGACTCGGACCACTCTGCGGCTATTTTCCCCAGAGAATTTGTTCCAGGTCCATAGGCCCTTGGCGAGGTTCAATATCGAGCTCCTCCACAGCGAGGGGCCCGGTCAGCATTTGAATTGTGCTCGCGAGCTCGTCGATGGAGAGAGAACCGGACTTCTCTTGTCGGCATGAAAGTTCTGTGTGTGGGATGGACCAGTCGGAACCAAGCTCTGCGGGACGTGGATTTGAGCAAGGGTCCTAACTAGTACTGGCAGCTTCATGACGAGTGTGCCTACTGCGCCGTGCGGAAACAAGGGACAAAGCGAGTGGTTTAAAAAAGAGAAAGAGCGGCCAACAAACGCGTCGCGAGACTCAGAGAGAAGAGGAACACCAAAAGAACGCAATGACTTACCAAATGCTTTGTTGTTGTTGTGCTCTCCCGGGCCGGATTGGCCAAAGTCACTGAACAAAGCGAACAGCGGTATTTACTCATTCGTGGCTTGCTGCTAGTTCTCCCGCCCCTCTAAACGCTTGTCCTGAAATTTATGGCCATGATCCACCAACCAATCCGGTTCAATCTCGGTGATAATCCGTATCCTGTGTTTTGTCATTACAGTTGCGTCTTTTCTCTCGTTCTCGTGGCTTACTGTGTCTTTTTGGTCTCTTCCATTTCGTGAAAAACAACCCAGCCAGAGCGAGGTTTTCGTGTAAAAAGGACCGAAGTTGGATGCACATGCAACGTCTACAAAGGCTTCAAATTCAATATTTGCAACGTGCCTGAACAACTGCATACCTGATTCCCTCTTACAGACCGATATGTCCCATCAGCGACCCACCTGGCGCCGTTTCGCCAATAGCCGCTCACAAGGCACTGGCGTAGTCGTTTTGCATCCCCCTCACAGCTCTCAATGGGCAGATTGAAGCGTTGCATATATTTTTTGAGCTGAGCTCGAATCGATACCGCACGCGACATCGCACGGAATGACAGCGCATGTGACTTGCACCACCCCGAAGAGCGGCCATATCTTGTGAAGGCGTTGTAAACTGATAGGAAATTAGAAACGGGAAGTGTCGAGACAAGGCCGATATACGCGCCATTCAATAATGTGAGATGGTCCTACCAACAGTCATTATGCGGCAAGGGGAATGAGATATTTTTACTAACCCCTTCTTCGGCCGTAAATTTTCGTCGTTCAAGCTCGGCCAAAGCACCTTGCGCTCCGTCGGGAATGACAAAAACATCCTGTTTCCGAGATCTGGACACTATCATGGAAATGAATGGACCACGAACCTGCACAGATGTCATTGCGGCGATGGTGAGAATCTCATCTCCGCACTTCAGGTCCTTGGAATTGAATAGCTAAACGGGGCTCAGACGTGTAAATAATCATTCAATATGGGACTGACCATTCGCGCAACGCCGACTTCGACTGGGCACTCTGCAACCTGCTCCCCTATGACGGTCAACCGACCGTCCTCCCCTATCATCCCCGCTGCAACAAGACCTTCCAGGGCTCTCAGCACACTTTCAGCGGGCGGCGCTGAAACCCATTCGAATTTCATGAGGTCGTCTATGCCGAGGGACTTGAGCTGCAATATGGGAGTGGTCATATCCGTCCGGGTGATTTCAGGTGGAGTCGATAGCGGGAGGGAATTGAATGCAGACAGTGGGTAGAGGCGATAGCAGACCCCAGGAGAGGTTCGTCCAGCTCGTCCTGCGCGCTGGGTAGCCGATGCGACAGACGTCGGGACAGTCGCGAGAGAGGCCAGGGCGGTTGTTGGATTGTACGTTCGGATCTGGGGATGTGAGATATTGTGACGGATGTTGGACGGCAAACAAACCTTGACAAAGCCGCAGTCGACTACAAATTTGACTCCTTCGATAGTCACACTCGCCTAGGTTTCATTTAGCACCAGTTTCGGTACAAGTTATGAAGGGAATTTACTTCAGCGATATTGGTAGATATGATGACCTTGCGAGTGCCGCGGTCGGCAGGTTCGAATACCCGTAGTTGTTCGTCAGTTGACAAACCTGCGTGAAGGGCCAACGGCACCAGGCGTGTGGCATTTCGCGGCAAGCTGATCACAAGGTGAGCATAGCGACAGAGAAATGCAGCACTGCGACCAACGTTGGCAGCAAGTCCGAAAACTCCTCGAGGCATCTTTCAATATCCTCTCGGCCCGTCAGGAACACCAAAATATCACCCGCACCTTGCTGTGCGGAGCTTTGTAAGCGAGGGAGAAGAGATGAATATCTCCCCTACCTGCAAGTTGATGTTCCAAGCGACCTCTGCAGCTTTTCGAACATAATCCGGGGCGGGTTCTTGCAAATATGCCACCTCGACGGGATACATTCGACCTTCCAGGCTGACGATAGTGGCTTCCTGGGGTGAAGTGGAAGCGGTAAAGTAGTCAAGAAAAGAGGTAGCATCCAGGGTCGCAGAAGAGACGATCAAGCGGAGAGACGGTCGCTTGCGGCGTATCCTGGTAAATGTAAGTCAGGCCTATAGGGGACGGGAAAAATCCCTGCTTTTTCAAGACGCCCAGCAGGAGATCCGTATAGACGCTTCGTTCGTGCGCTTCATCAATCTTTCTCGAATCAGGGTGTCGGAACAGAAATCAAGTGTTCTGAGCTCACCATAATGACACTGTATCGACTCAACAAAGGATCGACCAGAGTTTCGCGAAAAAGCATTCCGTCCGTCATGTAAAGTATCCGAGTTCTCTCCTTGTCACTGACATCTTCGAACCGGATGGTATAGCCAACCTAATGGTGTGAGCGAGGAGCGAGAAAACGCGTGAAGCCATCCCACCTCGTCCCCAAGGATAGACCCTACTTCGGAAGCTACTCGCCCGGCTACCGAAGTGGCTGCAACGCGTCGGGGTTGCGTGCAAGCGATGACATTGCCGTTGGCTGCCCAGCCAGATTCCATGAGATATTGCGGAAGTTCTGGGAAACTGTCAGACTGACGGTCCGTATTCTATAACGGTAAGCTTTACGAGTGGTCTTGCCGCAGCCAGTCTGGCCGACGACAATGATGACCCCATGCTTCTCAACAGCGTAGAGGAGTTTATCGCCTGTAATAAGAGCAGTTGAGACGTCGTCTCGATCGACGAGGATCAGAATACGTGCGATGCTTGAAGATGGGCAGGCGTTCGCGTTGGCTCTGGATGGACAGAGAAGAGATGGCAGATGGAACAGCGTAGCCCTCGGCTTGAGTCTCGCGGTCAAGGCTGCTTCCGGGCGCCGCTGTGCCAGGTTTCCAGAACTGCATGGCCTCGCCGTTGTTTGGTTGAGAACAAGAACGTCGGACAAACAGCGGCTCAAGTTGGAACGCGGTTCATTATTCAGTTCGTTCCCTGCAACAGGGAACCATACAATCGCAAGTGGACATTTCATGAGCCATTTCTTTGGCATCTTGTATTTAGTTTTCTGAAGGAATCTCGGACAACGTGATCGCGTTCTCAGAGCACACTCACCACTCGCATCGTGACAATATGAATTCTCGATACAAGTCCTAGTACCCTCGACCCCGTCCACCACCACCACCACGAAAGCCGCCCCCGCCTCGACTGAACCCGCCGCCTCCGCGGTCCCCAAACCCGCCCCGCCCACGCCCGCCGCCGAAACCACCACGGTCGCCGCCGAAACCACCCCGGGCCCCGAAACCGCCTCTTGAACCTCCGCGTGGTCCGCCTCTTGACTGGAATCCTCCTCGTCCACCACCGCGCGGCCCGCCGCGTCCGCCGGGTGCTCCTCGGCCACGTCCTCGTTCTGCAACACAGTCAGCAAGCCATCCGGCATGGT